CGTGACGATGTCCATTAGGATGAGACTTATCTTGCTCGGTCCTCGTCTGGTTCTTGCCGAAATTCGAGATAGAATCGGATAGATAGATATATATGAGCAGAATATACAGCTGGTTTCCTACAAAGGTTCACTATATGGAGAGTCCTTGGTTTTCCTTCGCTTCATAAAAAGGTTCACTATATGGAGAGTCCTTGGTTTTCCTTCGCTGTTTTAGAATCGCTAGGCTTCAGCTGTGACCAAAAGATCCTTTCCTTGCTTCAGATCTGATCCCCCGTCTCCCGAATGAGCCGAGTGATGGCCCACCGAAATTCATTTTCCAAAGGAATTGTCACTATTTAGTCAACCGCTCTAACTGTTTATAGTGCGAACTCGGTCATCGACCTTTCCGAACTCAACTAATATAAATGATTGAAATGGAGCCGTGCATATGGCAACACAAAACGGATGGATATCACTTACAAGGAAGAAGAGACAACGCTTGGGCACGTGTATTGCATGCCTATGCAAAGAGCAGGCCATGACTGTACGAATATGTTCCTTCTAACGCCTCTAAATTTTTGAGATACTGAGAATTACTTATCTGTTTAGTGGGAGAGGCTCGGTCAATTTGGAGAAATTTGAGGGATACCATTAAAAGAAAAAGAAATTTCCACACAGGACCAGCTGGGGAAAACCCTTGGAAGTATGACTCCATGATGACCTTCTTGGGCGAAACGGAGTATGATGTGTGGGTGTCGATATAACCATCAGTAGCGATAGGTTTATACTTTCTTTGTACAAAGACCATATCCATTTTGGATGACAATGGAAACTTCATCGCTATGAATAAAAATGAAGACTCCAAGTAGTGGAACCGGAAAGACCACGTCGAACGAAAGCAGAGAAAAAAGACGGCGAGGTATCTGAGGTACCGTAAACAGAGCCATAGTCAGAGAACCGTGGTTTTAGTTGCGCTAAAGTTAACAGAGGAAGCCGCGGACGCCGAAAGCATCCGTTCAAACCACGGATAATATTGCCGCACCAGAAGAAGAACAGAAGAACTCGGCTCTAGGAGAAAAGAACTAGCTACTACTATACAGAAGAACTCGGCTCTAGGAGAAAAGAACCAGCTACTACTATGAGTGAATTTTGTCACACGGAGGCTTATTCGGGTTCACCGCATCGCGATATATACGTGAATGAGACAGCAAATTGCTATGAAGGAAGTTCGGTGATTTTGAGAAGGGAAGAATAAAACCAAGAGTATTAAAAACATCTCTGCTGTGGTTATACACCACATGGAGTTCTATCAAGGCACACGTGGTGCCAGTTGAGCATTGCCATATCACTCGATCCGTATCTAATCTTCGCGAAGTAGTCGTCGGTTACGCAGCTTTCGTTGAAAACGTCGGTTTGGTCAGTTTCGTCGGTTTCGTCGTCGAACCGATGCGTATATAGTCCTCACGAAGAAGTCACCGCTAACGCAGCTTTAGTCTGCTATGCAGCTTTTATCGGATCGATACGTATATAATCTTCGTGAAATAGTAGCAGAAAACGTCGGTGTCGGTTTCGTCAGTTACATCGACCTTGACGACGACGTGGCACGTATTAAGCAGCCTTACTACGTAGAAATGGTGAAGCCGTTTTCCACGTACCCACCAATCGGTGGCTCTTATCACTCCTCACTGGTAAACATCTTTAGTTGTCGAAACTCGAGAATTAAGCGGTCGAAGTTTCAACCGTATCGTTAGGAAATGAGCACTTTTACCCATGCTTATAGGCTTATCGGACGCTATATTACAACCTCTTTCCCACCACCAATGTTCTCCAACCACCCCGAATCACTGTTGGAAGCAGTCTACCACTGTTGCTACAACTCGAGCTGAAGCTCCCTTTCTTGAGTATTCCCTTGAGGTATCTTATCAGCTGTTATCACATAACTTCTTGGAACCACCATCCCACCGTTGCAGTGATGCGAATTATGAACTTAGTGACCATCCCCTTTTGAGGCTACTTGTCAGCTGTTATCACTTATCTGGCACCCACCAATATTGTTCCCAACCTGCCTCGCTACATCGCTTCTTGAAATCACCGTTCCACCGCTGCAGTGACGTGAGTTATGAATTGGGTGGTCCGTCCCATTCAAAGTTCCTTGTTAATCCTTGTCAGCTATTATCACCTCCTGCCATATACCAATGAGTTCACGGCCAGCCTCCTATATCACTTACCAATGTGAATCTCAGAAAATGCCAATTCAAACATACCAGAAATAGACCGCTCTAATCCAGGGGCAATAAAAATACTTGGCGTCAGTTACAACACACGGAACGACCGCTTCCCAGTGAGAACCAAGTTCGAAATGAAGCAAATCTTAACCAAAAGAGAGGCTTGTGAAGCAAAACAATGGCATATACGACCCACTCGGTGTTGTTGCACCCCTAGTAATTGAACGCAAATCACTGATGAGAGAAATCTTCGCTATCCATTCTGGATGGGACGACCGAGTAGGCTCAGAACTCCATCAGAAATGGAATACACTATGCTCATCAGTCAATAACGCTGAGATAACCATACCGCGGGCATTGGTTACGGATAATACAAAATCACTTGACGCTTGCCTGTATGCTTTTGCAGATGCAAGTAAGGCAGCGATTGCGACTTGTGCTTACACTGCCCATCAAAACAACACGGTTACTCGACTCGTGATTGGTAAAATCAAGCTATCGCCAAAAAAGATACCGCAAACGATTCTCAGACTGAAATTCTTAGGGTACTAGTAGCACTGCGTCTGGGAAATAACATTCTACAGACGGATGGCTGCTTCATAAGAGAAACTCTATCGTAGCATCAGATAGTGAATTCGTGCTCTGTTGGATAAGATCAGAGCGGAAATTGCCACTTTTAGCAAACCAGTGCAAAACAATACTGGCATCGAAGGAAGAATTAGAAAAGAGCATGGCTGACGTGTGCTTTGTGCACGTAACAAACATGCTGCGTGTACGTACTCCTAAATCCAGTCGATGCTGGCAAGGGCTTAAAGCATCCCAACTCAAAGAGCACGCATGGATCACAAGTGCTCGTTGGATAACGTACGAAAACACTGCACAGCTTAAACCGGTGAAGAAATTCCACGTTTGCAACGATTAATGAGAGATTACGGAAGTGTCACACATTATCATCAGCGAATCAAAGAAGACCACTCCTTTGGTTGATATGTCTCGCTTCTCCAATTTGAGAACTCTGTTACGCACAGTAGCTAGAGTAGGTAAAGGCCTTCGCAGATGGGTAGATCTAACCAACAGCAAAGCCGTAGTCGATATCAAGCCTGTGCTGCTCACAAAATTCGATTCATCACCCCAAATTTCCGCTATTGACTTAAATCTAGCAGAGAAACTGCTCATACAGAATCTCCATGGAGGAGTCAGCCTTGAAGATCTTCAAAGGCGCTTCCCGAATCAGAGAATAATACGGGATCCAGAAGGTATAATTGGACATGTCTCAACACTACAAAACTTAGCTCTACCTCTGAGTAAGTCCCCTACCTATCTTTCCAATAAAGACTATTTCACGAAATTAGTTCTGCAGGACGAGCATGGGTCCAACGCTCATATTGCAAAAAGCCACCCTTTGCTCGTAATATGACAAATCTGGGTTCCTCACCCTTCGAGTGCTTACAGAAACGCGGTTAAAGGCGTCATTTGCAAACGCTGGCAAGGAATGCCTTTCGGTGCACCAGAAATGCCACCGTTACCAACGGATAGGGTTTCGATAACAAAACCATTTGCAAACTCCGCCTGTGATTTTATGGGTTCTTTCCCTTCTAAATCCGGAGAAACCATGTACGTGTGTCTGTACACTTGCCTCACAATCCGTGCTGTGCATCTAGAAGTAGTAGAGGACCTGTCTACTGGCGCATTCCTCAACAGTTTCACTCGATTTATTTCCAGACGCGGTGTACCTCACCTCATAGGAAGTAACTGTGGGTCTAATTTTAAGCTCGGATAAGAGCACCGATGACAACTCGTTAATGACGTTTTGTGCTTCCAACGGTATCAAGTGGGTTTTCAGTCCCCCAGCAAGTCCACGGCTGGGTGGAGTTTGGAAACTGGTCGGTTCGCTCAAAAAATTCCTAAATGAAGAAATGAAGAGTGTTGGCTGAAAAAAGCTATCCTTTTGTATGTTGAGTATAGCTACTGCTAAAATAGAGGCTATACTAAACACTCGCCCTCTGACGAAACTGGACTCAACCGACATTACAGAGATTCCTTTGAGACCAATAGACTTCCTTCAAGGGAACGTATCATTCTCACTTCCGAATACAGACATTTCGAACTGTGAAGACGAATCTTATGATCCAGATGTGATCCAAACAGTTAAGCAAGCTAAAGAAGCGCTAAAGTGTTCCGAAAATATAGCGGCTAAATTCTGGGAAAGATGGAGCAATGAATATCTGCTTTGCCTGAGGGAATCTCAAAGAATCCACTTGAAACAAAAAATTAATGCATGCCGCGATCGCACACAGCATCTCGAACCTCAGGTGTCACAATGGAAAGGTAACGATCGATCCACCTACTGCGATATTCGAGTTATGCTCCAACAGCGATTGCCTAACATTCAGAAATATATCTGCAAAGATGACACTCAACCTAATACCTTCATCCATTAATGCAAACGTACATATACGATTGATGCAATTAGCGGAACACAACCACTCTCATGTTCTCCACCCGATTTCTGCTCCGTGTCACAGAAATTCCTATCGAAATCATTAATAGGCAACCCCCATTGTTGGCCGGTCGGTGCATTAGCATCATTAGCAGCAGTATCATTCCTGATCATATAGGAGTCCTGATCATTTTTTGGACTCTGCAGTTTCTCAACCGGTCTAAAAAGCAGGGAAGATCCACTGTTCCAGATGGAAAATTGGTTGATACACACGAAATGGAAATGGAATGTAATTCATTCATACCGGCCCTACCTCTTGGCGGTCGTGTTGCTACAGTAGCATGCCTACTTTCCTCATGTCTAGCTTGGGCAGCGCATGCCAACACGGAGTGATCCGACATCATATTGAGCTAGTCTGTAGTCAAGACAAAGAATGTTCCTGTGAAATTGGACAAGAACTCCTGTTCAACAAAATACAATGGAAGCACTGCATTGAAATGCATCTCCGGAACCGAACGGTTCGCATGGTAAGCGTAGTAAAGGCTGTACACTTCATCTGCCTGAGAATAAGATATTTTGCTCCCACAGGTGTGCAGAGATGGGATCGTGCACAAGTAATATATGCGATACGCTCAGAGCAAACGATACTGTACCAGAGCTTCGTAAGTCCAGATTCTACCCTGGATATTCTGCCTGTGATTATTCTAGTGGCGGTTTACTGTCCGGCTGTCTGTTGCCAACACCTTCTTGCGTCTTCTACAGAACAACACACGTCCCCGTCGTATACGAGGTTTTCGAGTGCCAAGATTGGTCCCTTCGATCCACCTTGAAATATCAAGTAATATATTTGGGGTAACCAAAGAACAAGCGGTACAGTATACAGCCATGGCAGGCCACTGATGTCAAGATCATGAACGTCACAGCGGTCGCTGTTCAAATGCCCTCACATTCCCCGATGTACAAAAATTTCGCCCAGTCGCAGAATGAAACAATCATTCTGCCAGACACCTTTCAAGTACCGGTTGTGTGTCCCACAAGGTACGATGCACAGAAAAGATTCAGCAAATGTGAAAACAGAATGGTATGCAGTTGTAGCGCCGGGAAAGCTCCTCACACCTGCGAGTGCAGCAAAGCACTCCGCCAATCAGGTACGATCAGAGGACTCGAATCGTCTGCCTCTGAAGACAGGTTCCATAGAAATGCATTCTAAAGGTAGCCACGTCGTTGTAGATTCATTCGAGGAAATTACGTTACTCATGCGGTCTAATATTTTGACCAATGTCTCCGATTTAGCAGTCAATGCCTATGTTAGTGAGCTGTCGGGCTGTTACGAGTGCCTATACGGAGCACGTGCAAAAGTGTCCTGTGTTTCACACTATAATACCGTAGCCGAAATCCAGTGCAACAACTTCACAACAGTAGTAAGATGCAGTGCGGAAAATTCAACGACAGATCTGAACCTAAATTTCAACCAGGCGATTATTGAAGAAACATGCTACGCATCTTCCAACTAGAAACTTAGCCTCAGAGGTCAGCTTTTTAATTATCCCATCTTGAATGACTCAGTATTCTTCCTTAATTCGGAGGAAGCTCGTATTAATTTGCTAGACTTCTCTCAATTCCATCTCCCTGACTTCAAGCCATTGTTGGGAACAATCAAAAGTCACTGGAAGATGGCCTTATGCATTGCTGACACTATACTTCAGTTACCGGTCTTATCTACTTATTTGGACCAGTAGTAATCATTACAATGTTCAAAATGCTATGGTTTTCAATCAAATGTGTTCTGACTCCATGCAGGGCAATATACGCATCTGCTCGGTCGGTGCCTACAAAAGCTTAGGCGTGCTGGAGATGAAAGACGCCCGACGTCAAAAATCCCTTTCATGTTTCATAATAGTCATTCAGAGATTCTTTATGGGTACATCTGAGATACCTACAACACATCGTATGTTTGCAATATCCCCAACGGGACTTTTCTTTGAGTAAAAATTGTATATAAGCCACCGCCAAATGGGCCACACCAAATGGATCTGTCCGACGTCTCAAACATGCTCGATCAAGCCGAAGCCGCAGCCACTCCGAGCAACGCCGACATCTTCTCAGCGATCGGACACGTCGTCGCTCGCCTTCAACAGCTCGAGGCCGCCGTCGAAGAGTTGCTGAAGCGGTCAGAACCGCGCTCATCTTGCATCTTCTGCCCACTGGCAGAATCGCGAAGGGCCACACGACATTGCGATGCAACCGTTTTCCCGACGCGGTTGCGAAATGTATGCAGGTAGCGACTTTGTGGCCGATGCCTCAAACCAGCGCATGCGGAAAGTGAGGATTGTGGCGTGCAGTGTGCTGCGTGTGGGAGACCACACAACGTACTACTGTGCGCCAACCGCGGACAGCAGAGGCATTCAAGCGGCAACGGCCCTGATGCAACCGGCACAGCAAGAGAAGATGTCGGCAGTAAGAAAGATCAATTTGTTGTATATTGTTTGTAATGTTTGCTAATTTTAATTGTAGGTGGCGGGAGTGTTCTAGCCTTTGAGCCAGAACCCGCTACCACACATGCTCCTAGAAGCTTGCGAATATAGCAGTTCGGTATAGGTCGGCGAGCACGACCGGTTGCATTTTTCCTCGTGCTTTGAGGATGAATAATTTCTCCATACTCTCTTTGAAACCGATTAAGGGGGGCGAATGATTTATCTCTCCATTATATCAAAGGCGCCACGGGTCGATGGAGACTCTGATATCGTAATCTGTGGATAAAGGATGAAGGATAAAGGATAAAGTCTTTGCCGTTAATCAATCCCTTTTTGGGATGCGGCACGCATTCCACAAAGGGATTGATTAATAACTTTTTTACGCATTCCATTTCTTCCATTCAGAATCGTAGTGGCAACGACTTCGCGGGGGCCAGCCGATGTACAAGTCAGTGTTTTATCCTCCCAGACGAATCTGGTACCAATTTACCGTCCCCGGAGGGTAGAAGGCTTGGTTGGCCTGGGCGGGTGTCGACCTGGGATTCGAACCCAGGACCGCGCGAGTGGTAAGCGCGCCACTTGTCACTACACCACCTCCGCCTCTTTGGATGGTTTGTAAGAGCTTGAGTGGAATCTAAGCGGTCGTCGCAACTTATCGCCTTGCTTGCTGCCACTTCTAAATCAAACAGTTTTTGCACTATTTTAGACCTGTTCGCGGGTTGGTTGCCGAACTTTTCCATGAGCGTGTTAATGATCCAATCATAATTCTTTGCTATTGGCTGTATGCCTTTGATGGCCTTTTCCGCCTTTTCCCCTTAAGCTATCCTTGAGGAGAATGATCTTCTCAATGACACTCAGGTCGTTACTCGAGTGTATTAGAGACTCATAGACTGCCCAATATTCTGGGAACTCTTCTTCGTTGCCGTAAAACTTTGGCAGACTGATATTTGGGAGTTTAGCCGATCGCATTTTTGCGTCAAATCATGAATGGGACCGTCCTCGGATGATGCATGGCACCAACTCGCCCCAGTTGTGCTTTGAGTAGCGTCACCTCCCACGCTATCGTTGGATGATGGTAACTTAAGTTCCTCTGAGCTTTGGTTAGATTGACTCGAGCTTCTGACAACTGGGCCTCGAGTGTATGCACAAAAACTTCAGCAGTCGCTAGATGTTGCGAAAATTGCGACTCTTTCTCTATTTCTTGTACTTCTAGCATCAACTCTTTCTGGTATGCTTTTTTAGCGTTAGCGAACTAGTTCTCCTATTTTACCTAATTTTTTCTTGGAGGTTCGATACGGCTGTTTTATTCTAGTCAGCGCTGACTGCAGAAGAGAGACGTTTGCCGTTACTTTTTCATACAATTCCTCTTCATTTTCTGGGTATTCCAAGTTATCTCCATAGGTTTTATATTTCTGGAGTAGTGTGGATGGGGCAGAAGCGCTAGCAAGAACTGGTTCCTTATAGAAGAAGAGAGACATACTGATTACTATGCTCCAGATTCCTGTTTTTAGAAACGCTGCTTTTGAGCAGACTTTATCTGAGAACTCTGTTGAACTGGGAGAATTCAACAGAAATATCGTTGCTGTTGAGCGGTAGAATACGTTTGCTGAATTCAGAGAATCTAACTAACACCACGCTGCTATTGAGCGATTGGTCTTCGTAAACAGTTGTTCACTGTTTTTATGGCTAACTGAGTCCCTAGGGCGGACGATGTGCTGACCTCAAAAACAGCTTTAGCCGATGCACCAAAAAAATGTGGTGTCTCAGGCGGAAGGATGGTGCCTTTGATAGAAAGAGAATTCATTCTATCTCTTTGATTTGTTCGGTAGTTCGAAGAGAGTATGGACAAATTACTCATCCTTAAAGCACGAGGAAAAATGCGACCGGTCGCATTTTTCCTCGTGCTTTAAGGATGAGTAATTTGTCCATACTCTCTTCGAACTACCGATCAAATGCATGTGTGGTAGCGCGTTCTGGCTCAAATGCCAGAACATGGCCCACGTAGGACATCCAGCTCTCGTAACAAATATCAGTGTCTGCCAAAAGGTCCCGCCTCAATGAGCGAAAAAGAGGAGACACGTCTAGGATGTTTTGTTCTCTCTGTCGAACCAACGCAACTCATGAGGTATTGATCAGAAAGGTTTCCCTTTTTTTTGTCCCCAAAAAACCATGGTGATGGAGACGACACGACTATCCCTTAACTATTAGGTTGGTTCGAAAAGTCCTGCGACACTTTGACCAATTTTTCGGACTAAATTTTCAGTCACTAAAAGACATCTCCAATCTACAAGGTAATCACCACTAAGGACTAGGACTAGTGCCCTTCTTTTGCACAGCTTCTCATTTCCATTCTTATAGAACTACGGCAACTATGATAAGAAGAAGAGGTGGACCTCATTTTTGAGTAGACGTCGATTTTCGGAATTTTTGCCTTCTTAAGGATGCGGTAGGGATCAAAAAAGGTAGTAGTTAGAGACTGCTAACTTTGATGAATAAGCTGGGTATGGTCGCATTCTCAGATCAAGATCCACGATCTTTTGGTGGCCTGATCCTAACATGCGGTCTTCGCATTGCCGAGCGGTAGAGAAAAATTGAGTATTTTTGAAGAATTCAAGCGTGACGTCATCCATGTTGTGAGGTTGTTAGAGTGGACTGTAGTCCTTACCGTTATGCTAGTATCCAGAGATACCGCTTTAAAGTCCCACCAATAACCTACTGAAATCTTTATCCCATGCACATCTGCTTTTGGCTGTGCAATCTACTTTTCTCTCTGAGAGATCCTGCGAGGAACATGTGCAAGATGTACGCAAGGACCCCACCACTCTCTACCAACCACAAGATCTCACAAATGTTCCTCCAGTGTGTACAAGGAAAAAAACTCAGTCACGGTCATTCGGTATGACTTGTCAGAGGGGTTCAACTCATGAGGCATCCTTCATAAAAAATTTTTCCAATAACCGAGAGTGCGGAGAAGCATGGCAGTTGTCGGTTAGGTGGAGCCTAGAGAGGTTGCCAACTTACTGGTGGTTACGTTCGGCTGCGCCTCAAGAAGCTTAAGTAAAGGGCCGTCATTCTGTGCTGGTGGCCGACCCATACATTGCCTACTTCCGAGTTGAATAAGTCCAGCCTGGAAGCGCTGATGCAAAAGGAACTCTCTGCTGTGGCAGGCGATAGCCTGCCTCAAGACAACGTAAGTGTCAGCTTCCTCGTCTACGGCGGGGTGGCC